CCACCATTAAAATTAAAATTACAATGTCGGGCTAGGCCCGACATGGATACTTAAAAAAATTTGAAATTAAAATTGGGCGTGTTTTTTAGTGTGTCGTTGCCTCCGTGTTTTTCTTGTGTGACATCATTTCCTCCGCATTTTTTTTGTCCGACATTAAAACTAAGATTTGTTATAGTGTTAAGAAACAAATCCATAAAAATATGGATGATTTCTAATCGAACTCACAACCTCTTGATCGGAGATATATGTCAATTACCGCTGAGTATAGTTTTGACATCAAATTAAAACATTTGAAATCATAAAGACCAAATTGAAAATCACCAAGACTCTAATTGACTCAATTTAATAATCTTATCGCTGTGAGGATTCTTTCTTCAGCTTTACAGATTTGAGCTCATCCATCAACGCCACCAAGCTATTGTAAGATGACCCGTTGGGGCTCACCGCCGTCTTCGCCGCCCGACCGAGTTCCCTAGCTCGTTCTCTCATTCCCTCCACTTCATCGCCGCCGCCAAGCACCAAAGTTATGGCCTTCGTTATCTGTTCTCTCTTCACAATCTCCAGTGCTGCCGGATTGTTCATGTCCCACCACCTTCTCGAGCCCACCGGCACGGCGGTCCTCATAACCTGAGTCATTAGCTTCTCGATGTAAAACTGCTCTGCTGTCAACGGCCACGAGATCACCGGCTGGCCGGCACAGATACTTTCGAGAGTTGAGTTCCAACCGCATTGAGTCATGAAACCTCCGACTGCAGGATGATTCAGAATCTTAATTTGCGGTGCCCATTTCCTCATGATCAAACCTTTCTTCTCTTTCTTCATTCTCTCCTCAAAACCCTCCGGCAAATACCTCTTGCCATTGTCTTCTTCCCCACCTTGTCAAGAATATGAATAATTCAAGTATTAAAAGATTATGAATCAACATAAAATTATCAAGGATAATGGTATTCCTCCTACCCTAAATGTATGGCATGATATTGTCTGTTTTTATCATAACATTTACGATTTTACTTTTGGTTTTATCCAAATACATGTCTCATACGACATAACTGTCTTCTAATCACTCCCTTCCCTAGCAAGTATAGGATTATCTGGTACCTTTTTTCCTTATCTTTAAATTTTACTTATAAATCCTAAGTACACAACATTTTTATATATAATATGTAGTAAAAAAATTGATTTGTTCTTCGGCAGAATTTAAGTGATCATTAAAATTCACTAAGTGTTTGAATCAATACTCTTGTTTGTCAATAAAACAAAACACTGATGGTAAACTCTCCCAAACAAATCAAATTTTTGCTACATATTATATATGTTTACTTGAAAAGGTTTTAGAAGTAAAATCTAAAAGGAAAAAAGTACACGGACTCATTTGTTTACCCTCTTTACCAATGCAAAAAGAAATTGTCATGACCTATCAACTTAAACTTTTAAATTTAGTAGCACGTTTACGCACCTTCTTCGCCTCTCTTGCGAACGACCCAGATAAATCGGCAGTCGGAATCTTGAAGAGCATGAGCAATTTCCAGCAACTGTTCATCAGGGAACACTGTCATGCTCCCAAATCCAACATACAAAACTGAGTTGGGCTGTTGCAAATCCAGCCAATCCATCACCTCAGAGAACAACCCTCCATCATCTTCATCAACATTATCCTCTTTAACCCACGAAGAAACTGGCCCTATCGGCCATGTTCTCATGCCACAGTTCGTTTCAAAATAATCTTTGTAATCAGCTTCAAGCTCAAGGAAGCTGTTCATCAAGATCCCGAAGCTGCGGCGCTGCGCCACCAGAATCCTCTCCATGATCTCCGCCACCATTTTGTTCGTCGTTTTAACCCAATTTGGTATCTGCAATTTTGTGAGCTCTATCTTATTTGGCAATCCCGGGAGCTCAAATGGCTCGGTGTCGGATTCGACCTTGTCCTCGGGAGCGTGGGAGCTGATGCAGTGAGCGATCGATAGCGCTATATATCCTGCCAACCACCAATAAAAATATTAGTTTATGTGTTTAAGACGATGTTGGATTCAACATTATTAATAGGTCATTAAACTTTTAATTTTATGTCTAACAAAATTTCTATGTCGTTACTTTACTGGTTTAATGATTACGCTATTTAAAGCCACAAAAGAAGATTGTTCTCTTACTCACACTAAATTGGACAAACAACAACTTTTATTTTGAAAATGATTTTGATTACAAATGACAAATCCTACACATAATTATACTAATAGGAAAATACACCAAATGACATTAATAGTAAATATTAATACATGTGACCTTTTACTAATACATGAACCTTCATCAATCTATTCAGGTACGTAATTAATTGTTAATTCATGTATTTATAAAATGTCTAGATTAATTTTAAAAATTACCTATTAAACATGACTGTACAAGTTTAAAGTAGAAAATAAAAAATTTTAAACTACAAGAATTTAATATTTGAATTTTTAAATTAATTTCTCAAAATTCTAAGGTTAAAGTGCAATTTTGTAAGATTCTAAGGATGAAAATGACTTATTTCTCGAAATTCAACGAGTTGAAAAGAATAATCGCTATTTTAAACGGTTTCATAAACTTATTACTCAGTATCTATATTTTAGACAAGTTTTAACTCTTGTTTTTATTCATAAAAACATTAATTTATATTATTTATTTTAGTCATCAAACTTCAAACCAAATAGTGGACTTTATCTTGCATGTAATCATAGAGATCACATACTCTATCAATTAGTTGAAATGACTATTAAATGAATTATAGTTATTACTTATCGTAAAGTTGATAAATTAAGATAGACATTTTAACCTGCGCATTGGAAGACTAATCTCGGGATCTCGAGACGGGTTGCAACATCGACGGTCCAGCCGAGAATGGTGTCGCTAACGATGCAATCTACGCCGGATTCAAGAAGGAAGTTTTCGATCTGGTTCTCGAGCAAACCCAGAGCTCTATAGAGCTTAGCAGTCATCTCCCTCGATGTGGTCTCGCTGAAGCTCTCGAGGCCGAGAGGGAGGCCGACTTCATCAGACGGCAGCTGGAGAGCGTGGAGCTTGATTTTATAGCCGGAGCTAGAATCGCCATCGACGTCTCGGCGGAAGCGGGCTGCATTGCCGGTGGTGGTAATGAAGGTGACATCAGCTCCGTGTCTGGCGAATATTCTGGCTATGTCCATAAGAGGGATCATGTGGCCTGGAGCTAAGACCGGAATGAAAGCTACTCTGAGTTGGTCTATGGAGTTGGCCATGGCTGATGGCTGCATGGAGATCGGACAACCAAATGAAATCAGGCTCTGGAAAATATAGGGCGGAACTTGGAAGAGACGACAGCATGCAAAAATGACCTTTAAGAAGACAAAACACAATAACAAACAAACAAACCAAGCAGTGGTGTCCTGCAAGGCGTCCCCTCCGATGCAAAATTCATGAATGGTTGCTTCAAAGGTCGCTCTCTCTGTCCTTGTCCTCTTCGGGAAATTGGGATTTCTAATCCCATTATATAACTCATCTGGATTTTTGACTCCTTTTTAAAAAAAACTAATTCTAATTTGTGACTCCTTCCCACTTTTTGTCTTTGTAAAATTACTAAAATATCCTTTGTTTATTTTAAGTAAATTTATCCACCAATCTCTTCTCCCAACCCTTAGCATTTTTTTTATTTTGAATCTAATATAGATTAATTTATTACTTAACAAACAAATCTACACAAAAAAAATCTGAAAATTAAATTCTAGGGTGAAAAAAAGATTTGCATGATCCAAATAAATGCATAAGATTTGTTCGGAATTAATTACAAAAAAAAATTAAGGTTTCATAAATATCGTGCCAAAATTGCATTAAATGTCCGAGATTTAATTGACAATAAGGGCTAAAAGAAACTTGAATTAGGAGGGAGAAAACGCAAAAAAAAAAAAAAAAGGAATTTAGGATCTCGGACCGGGATGGGAGGATCCCGGTCCGGGATTGAACCATCCCGGACCAGGATTGTAGAATCCTGGACCGAATAGTAACCTGGTCCGGGATGGTTCAATCCCGGATCGGGATCCTTCTAACCCGGATCGGGATCCTCTAATCCCGGTCCGGGATGGTTCAATCCCGGGTCGGGATCCTTCTAACCCGGATCGGGATCCTCTAATCCCGGTCCGGGATCCCAAATTCCACATTTTTTTTTTTGCATTTTCTCCCCTCTGGGCCTATTGTTA